TTTTTCTTCCTATATAAATACCTTCTTTTTCCTTCTCTCCATTTTCGATCTCGCCTTCGCACCGAGAAGAGACTGAGCTCGAGAACGGAGAGTGGGCCGTCGATTCCTTCACTTGGCTCCCCAATTTTCCTTCTTCGCTTCGCTTCTCACTCCCACAGGTACGATCCATTTCGATCTGGTTTTCGTTAGATCTTTAACTTTGCTTTAATTCCAGATTTGGATTCCCTTTTGCTGTCATTTTTGGTGCTGAGTACTGTTGTGAACTTCGATCTGGTCGTTTTACTGGTTTTTGTCAATGTCTGTCTTTGATCGTGAGAATTTTTAGCTTCTGGTTCTTCGATTGTCTAGTAGTTGTGCAGTTTGTTCGTGGTTCTGAATTTTGTGATGCGATTTGTTAACCGTAATGCTGTTTCATGATGCGACTGTTTCTTTTGTATTTTTGCAATCTATTTGGTTTGTGAGAACTTGGTGGCGTTTTGATTGGCCTGTGCAATCAGATTTGGCTGATCTTTAACCTTTTGCGTGTTTTTAAAGGAATTTTGTGCTACTGGAGCTGAGATCTTGTATTTGGTCTGTAATTTTCTTGATGCAATTTGATGTTTCTAGCATAGTTTCCATTGCCATTTTTACCTTTGTTCTGCATGACTGGATTTCTCACGGAATTTGAATTAAAGATTGCTACTTTCATTGTTCTGATAACAAGCAATGTTGAAAGTTGATTGATTGAGGATCGATTATTTTCTCATGTAATTAGTTGAATACATTAAATCGTGTTGCTTACAGTTCTCCCTTGTGCATCTTTTGGCCTCTCTTTCCTGTATTTTTTGTTGTAGTGTATGTTGTAGTGTTCGTGTGTCAATTTTGCCATGAATAAAAAAGAAAAAAAAATCTGCAAGCTGATCCATATTATTCCTGTTAAAATTGATTATTTTTAGTTATTTTCTATTTATTTTATTGTTTTGACGATTCAGGGTTGATTAGCAAAGAGGTGATTTGAATTCTATGTAACACTTTCACTCATATGAATTAGTTTCTACGTATTTTTCAGTATTTAAAAATAATGGCCGATGCTGAGGATATCCAGCCACTTGTTTGCGATAATGGAACTGGAATGGTGAAGGTTAGACACTGATCTTATAACATGTAGCTGTTTTTTTCTTTTCTTTTCTTTTTTTGCATAAGAAACAGACCTTTTTTTTGGTTGGGCTGTTTTTTGTATGTTTTTTCATCCTTTCTGCAGATCTACTAATGTCTTAATAGTTATAATTGTTCTTTTACATGTGGTTTTGTCTTAAGCCTGGTTATAATTTTTGATTTGTAGGCTGGATTTGCTGGTGATGATGCTCCCAGGGCAGTGTTTCCCAGTATTGTTGGTCGACCCCGACACACCGGTGTCATGGTGGGCATGGGCCAGAAAGATGCTTATGTTGGTGATGAGGCCCAATCCAAAAGAGGTATTCTTACCTTGAAATATCCCATTGAGCACGGTATTGTCAGCAACTGGGATGATATGGAAAAGATTTGGCATCACACATTCTACAACGAGCTTCGTGTTGCACCGGAAGAACACCCAGTGCTTCTAACAGAAGCTCCTCTCAATCCTAAAGCCAACAGAGAAAAGATGACACAAATCATGTTTGAGACTTTTAATGTACCTGCCATGTATGTTGCCATCCAAGCCGTTCTATCTCTGTACGCCAGTGGTCGTACAACAGGTTCGCATCCATCTCCTCCTCCTATCTTAAATTTGAGACTCTTTGGACTTTTATTTTTATTATATTGAATGAATTCTTTGAACAGGTATTGTGCTCGACTCCGGTGATGGTGTTAGTCACACTGTACCAATCTACGAGGGTTACGCCCTACCCCATGCTATCCTCCGTCTGGACCTTGCTGGTCGGGATCTAACTGATGCTTTGATGAAGATTCTCACTGAGAGAGGGTACATGTTCACAACCACTGCCGAACGGGAAATTGTCCGTGACATGAAAGAGAAGCTTGCCTATGTTGCTCTTGACTATGAGCAGGAACTTGAGACTGCCAAGAGCAGCTCCTCAATTGAGAAGAACTATGAACTGCCTGATGGACAAGTCATCACAATCGGAGCTGAGAGATTCCGTTGCCCCGAAGTTCTGTTCCAGCCTTCCCTCATCGGAATGGAAGCTGCAGGAATACACGAGACTACCTACAACTCAATCATGAAGTGTGATGTGGATATCAGAAAAGATTTATATGGCAACATTGTTCTCAGTGGTGGTTCGACCATGTTCCCTGGTATTGCAGACCGAATGAGCAAAGAGATCACCGCTCTTGCTCCCAGCAGCATGAAAATTAAGGTCGTTGCGCCCCCAGAAAGGAAATACAGTGTCTGGATTGGAGGGTCAATCCTTGCATCACTCAGCACCTTCCAGCAGGTGAGACACTCACTCCTTACATTCACTCTTAACCTCTCATTCGCTCCCATTTTGCACCAAATTAACATAAATACTTGGTTCGTTTTACCAGATGTGGATTTCGAAGGGCGAATACGATGAATCTGGCCCATCCATCGTCCACAGGAAGTGCTTCTAAGTTCAATATGGTGGCTTGAATGGTGAGTTATTTCCTTTAGTTGGCTTTTTTGTGTCATGTGTAATGTGAACTCTTTCGGTTGAGCACGGATACGGGTCACGGAAGGAGGGTTATATTCCGAGGTCATTCATATGCCATCGTCGCTTTACCAACCGCTGTGAGTTTGAGATTCGTAATACTACTGCGTGTTGGAGGGTTAAAAAGTAATTGATCCTCTGGATGTGAAATGTGTTTTATGTTGGTTGTTTGGTGGGGAAAAAGAATTTTCCTTCCAAAATCTCCCTCCCTGCAACCATGTCTTTTTTATTAGGAGATGATTGTGATGTTTTTTTCTTTTATTTTTATTTTCATTTTTTTTTGTTTCCTCTTCTCTTTTTCTCCTATTTTCTATTCCAAGTTTTTTGTTTTTTCGGGAACATTAATGTTAATAGTTATTGTATCACAAATATTAGTCAGTTTGCTCCTTGCGGTCATAAACTTGCTATGAAAAATTTATATTTTTATTATTGGCTTGAAAGCTTATAAGGGCATCATATTTTTATTTACATTGCTTCTTCCCATCATTTAGTTTTATTTATTTACATTAATCTCTCCAATTGTGCTTCAAATTTGTCAATATTTTTAGAAATATCCATAAATTCGAAGGTTCGATGTCGTAGAAATGTTGATTCAAATGTCACTGATATTAGGGGTTCAATTTCTTTTCTTTTACTTGTTTAAGTTTGGAAATTATATTTATTGAATCAAATTACTTTGTTGCATTATTTTATTTACTGGATTTTTATTTTCTGATGTCGATATTTTATGCATTTTCAGAACTTTCACATTTATGTTGACATCAACATTTAATGTCAATTAAAAAAAAGAAAGAAAAAAGAGAAAGTCGTCATAAATCTGTATGCTTGCTGGTGGTGTGGCCCCTTATTTATTGCTCTTTATTGTAAAATAAATTTTATAACAATTATATCAAATAATTTTTTGGTTGATTTCTATTTACGAATGAAAATTTCATAATTATTAAATGGCATATTTGTGTATTAAAATAAAAAAAATCATTTTTGTGGCATTTGAACATAAAACTGCATTCCAATAAATAATATTCTTAGCAATTGTCCGGCTCTGGAGAATTGAACTCATAATTTTATAGGCCATTTTGTTAAAAATTTAAGGGTAAATAAATAATTTAATCTGGATTTTCTATTTTGTCTTATATGTTTTGTCATATTGAATATTTTTAAATCAAATTCTTACTGTCATTTTTTACGATAAAAGGACTAGTAAATGTATGAGGTTGCTCAAATCATGCCATATAAAATTAGTAGTTTTCAATTTTATGGGGTGATTTGTCTATTTCATGTATTAAAATTATTTTGGTGTTTGTCAATGAATTTAACATTTTGTGATTGAGAAAAAAATGAATATATTAAGGATGGAATTGAAAGGTAATGTTCTGTAATTTATATATACTAGCAACAATCACAAAACTTAAAAGGCAAAATAAGAAACATACATTTTCCTCTATAGATACATCTTTACCATTTTATTATGATGTTTCATATCGTAGTCTGGATCACACACCATATGCGGATGATAACACTTTCTTTTATGTAACTATATCTAATGGATTAACTTCTCTAACGAACTTATTTACCTGAATAATTTGTTTTTGTCAATAAATTTTTGAAAATTTAAATGACAAAATAGGAAAACAAAAACTCTTATAATATGAAAACTAATACAATAACCTAATATGTAAATAATTAATTTAACAAATCAAGTAATAAATATTCATGGTTAAGTATTCAAGTTAGTTAATAAAGACATAAAAATAAACATAAAGACATAAACATAAAAATAAACATGAAATAAAGAGTTTAAAAGTAGTTAAGACATATACAACAACAATCATACAAACACTAATAAACTAAAATAAATCATTAATATATTAATATAAAAATGTAATTTTATACTATACCTCATCATCAAATCAAATAAATTTATGGATTCTTAAATCTTTAGTGTTTCTCTTGTAAATAATGAAAATTTTTCATTGCAAGAGAAAAGCCTTCATAAACATTTTGAGAGAAAAAAAATATATAATTCTATGTACGGTGTTTTCTTTCATGTTATATAGATGTTTGTAATCACACCTATTTGGGAATGAATATATCATTTCATCAATCACACCTCTTGGATTAACTAATCTATCTAAAAAAAATACGTCGGTCTACTATATTATATATAAACAATTATCAATCTCAATCGCACCCATATGTGAATGAACACATCACTTCTCTTAACAGGTACCTCGACCAAACAGTTGCATCCTACATAAGTTTCAAGGGTAAAATAGGTATTTATTAAAAAGTGGAGGGCAAAAATAGAAGGCAAAGATTCTCCTCCATAGCCTCATTTATATAACTAATTAATATCACGTGCATTGCACGTGGTAATAAACATTTTAATATAATATTTCTAACAATTTAACATATAGAATAACAACTCAACAAACTTTTAAATGTACTAATATTTTGTTTCAAATAAAATACATTTAATATAATATTTCTACCAATTTAACATCTAGAATAACAACTCAACGAAACTTTTAAATGGTACTAATATTTTGTTTCAAATAAAATATATTATTATTTGTTGACATTTTCAATTAAAAAAAAGGGTAAAGTCTTCAAACTAAAACAATAAAATAAGAGATATAAAAAACATTGAATATACTATAAAATTGAGTTAATTAATGTGGTTATCAATTTTTGATAATCAAGTCTATTGTTAATTGAGACATAATAAATTAAATTAAATTATGTAACTAAAAATTCGAACAATAGTGAAATAATTTGTTAGATTGTCAAAATTATAATTAAATATTAAATGATTGGAACAAATAAAATTACTTATTTTTACTCTTAAGCTACTTTCTAAAATTGAAAAATCAAATATATTTTTTTTTATTTTTAAAAGGATAAATATAAATTATACTACACCATTTAAATGTAATAATAATTAAAAAAATACAATCTATACCTAGCACAATTATTAACAACTTTCTTAATCTAAATATGGATACAAAACTATTAGACAATTTAAAAAATGATGGTATAATTAAATATATTAAGGTAATATTATGTAGTTAAAGAAATAATGTTTTGATATTAAAAAACTATAAATAAAATAGACACAATACAAAAATTGAAGTTTATGACGTAAAAATAAATTACACCAAAATAGTAAATAAGAAAAAATTTATAATCTTATGTAACTAATGAATGATGATCTGTCTCGTTCATCTTAAATTTATTAATTATTAGTTTCAATAATTATTTTTTTAAAACATTTTTAAAGTGAGAACTTTATATTGCTCTCTCCTGCCAACGATGATTCATTACTATCTATGCAAACATAATTTCAATGCAAAATTCATTTGCAATTCTTATTCGTTGTCAATTTTTTTGTAAAAAAAACAACAATAATCTTTTTTCTGTGTTTTCTTAAATTATTTACTCATTCTTTTATCTTTTGTATATTATGTAATAAGGAAGAATGAACCAAAATTAAAGAATTGAAATTTGAGAAATAAACTTAATACCATGTACTGCCATGAAATCATTGAAAAAATGTGAGATAAAGAATCACATGACCAAAAAAAATAAAATAAGAACAACAGCAATCAAAAAGTCATATTAAGATAAAGAAGAAAACTAATACTAAAATATAACATGAATATATTTTAAAACGTGAAAAGAATATTAACTAAATATCAAAACACGAAGGTATCATGAATATAAAACTTAAAAGTAATCCACATAAAAATATTAAAATAATCTAAAATAATAAAAGTTGAAGATAATACAAATACATAATTTTGTTACTCTACCTCTTAATCGATTAAATATGTTTCTGGATTCTCAAATATTCTTTTGACATGGTTCAATGTTCACTCATGAACATAAGAAAAATCTTCATTAATATTTTGGAAATGAGTTTTAGGTCATAGAAGAAAAAGACATAATTTTTCATTTTATAGATTATTTGCTATGACACCTATGTGTGGATAGATGCATCACTTCATCAAACAGTTGTACTTTTCATCGGATTAACTTTTCTCAACACATTTTTTCACTCGAATAGTTACAACTCTTTTGGATTAAACTCCTTGTTTCATCGAATGGTCACAACTTTTTTGGATTTGTTATCCCAACAGACACTTTAACTCGAACAGTCGTGTCTCTCGTAGAAATTTGAAGGGCAAAATAGGTATGTATTTAAAAGTTGGGGGCAAAATGAGGAGGTTTTTGTAGATTATTTGTTATGGCACCTATACGTGGATAGATACATCACTTCATCAAACAATTGTACTTTTCATCAGATTAACTTCTCTCAACACATCTTTTCACTCGAACAGTTACAACTATTTTGGATTAAACTCCTTGTTTCATCGAATGATCACAACTTTTTTGGATTTGTTATCTCAACAGACATTTTAACTCGAACAGTCGTGTCTTTCGTAGAAATTTGAAGGGCAAAATAAGTATGTATTTAAAAGTTGGGGGCAAAATGGGAAGGTGAAGATTCTCCTCCATGACCCCATTTAGATATAGTATAGATATAGATATAGATATAGATTTAGTCAATCTTCTTTATAAATGGCTTGATTGTTATATTACAAGTAATTTTTTAACCGACCAAGACATGAAATATTGGAACTTCTAATTAATATATATATATATATATATATATATATATATATACACATTAAGGAATATTTACGAATAGCCAACATGAGCAACACTACTAAAAGTTCATAGTGTTTAGGTTCACGTTCAAGTTCCGTACCTCATAGTATATGTATATATATCTTTTATGATATCGTGAGAATTGAAAATGACTCACGAGCAAACAAATCACATTTTTTTTTAATTTAGTACAACAAGTGAGGATCAGGAATTCAAATTCATGACTTTATGATCGCAGATGAATGCCAAGGCACAAATCACACCAAATTTAACCAACAAAATACCTAAAATCAAATCACACAAGGGTTAAAAAAAATTAAAAAATGAAAAAAGAACCCAAAACTTAGCAATACTAATTAAAATAGTTTCATCTAGTTTCATCTAGCCATCTAAAAAACAAAAACAAAAGCTCAACTAATAAAATATGTTAGTATTTAAGTTTAGAATCCAATTTTATTATCTGCGGAAAAAAATTAAATTTGATAAAATTAAAATTGATTCTTTTTTTTTAAGGACATATGGGAGTGAGAGATCGAACTCATGACCTCTTGGTCATGATAGATGACTTAACTATTTGAGCCATGCTCCGTTTAGCAATTAAAATTGATTCCTAAGTCAAGTAAATAGAGGAGAAAAATAAAATGTTTCCTTAATTTATCAAATATCGACTCTGTATTTATCAATAAACTAATTTCTAACAAATGCGTGACAAATTTTAGATGACG